AAGCAGGGAACTGGCTAAGGCAGCTGCACCCTGGTGCAACCATCACAAAGCAAGAGACTCGAGAACTAGAAAGGCGAGGCTCACCGAGCCATTTATCCCTCCACCTTTCAATTAACCCCACGTGTTTATCGGCCAGGTTGGCACAATAAACTAACTACCTCAGGGGCTTATTATGAAGAAGTATTAAGAAAATTGAAAAGTGCATTGGTGAGAAAAAGATCATAAAAACTGTGCTGAGAACTTATTCTCCATCACAACATGCAACTGCTTATTATTGGACGCAAGTAATGATTATTCTATGAGAACTTTGTTTAGAAACCTTCTCCCTTTAACTCTTATCTTGCCCCTTCAGTCTTCTTTGTCTTCTCAGAAATTTTCAAAAAATACTTAAAAGGAATGTGATGTGAGTCCTTTGAGGATGCAAAAGTACTGCTTTGATATAGTGTGAATCAAAGAGTGCAGAATTCTTTGCGGGAAGACTGAGAGAGCAAGAAACACTGCCTTCAAAAAAATTAAATTACAAAAAAAAAAAAAGAAAAGAAACATTGCTTTCAGAGTGTATTGACCTAGATGAAAGATACACTGAGAAACAGTAAGTTCACGTTTTTATAACTTTTAAAATAATGGCTTCTTTGAAAAGGACATCATGCTTCCTAAAGTAGAAGGGGAGCAAAAAAGACCCTCAACAAGATGGGTTGACAAGGTGGCTGCGACAATGGAGTCAAGCCTAACAATTACAGGGTGACACAGGACTGGGCAGTGTTTTGCTCTGTTGTCCATGAGGTTGCTGTGAGTTGAACTGACTCAATGGCATCTATTAACATCATTTTGTAGTATTGCTTTTTACTTACCCTCATGTATAAGAGTCTTATTCTTCCATCTTCTCACCTCTGTACTTTCTGATGAAAAAGCTACTCTCACTCTCCTCTTTGTTACCCTATAAGCAATGTGTTGTTCACATCACTGGCTACTTTCAAGACATTGTGCTTCTAACTTTTGTCAAAGATTTTTATGTGTCAAGAAGTGGTAGTGATTTTCTTAAATTTGGATTGTCTTAAACTTCTGAATTTTTTCACCAAGTTTTGTTGTTGCTATTAGGTGCCATTGAGTTAGTTCTGACCCATAATGACCTTAGGCACAAACGAACCAAGCACAGCCCGGTCCTGAGCCATCCTCCCAACTTCCATGCTTGAGACCACTGCTGCAGCCACTATGCCAACCCATCTCACCCTGGGAAGTCCTCTCTTTTGCTGTCCCTCTATTACCAAGCATGATGTCCTTCTCCAGAACCTTGTTTCTCCTGGCAACTTGTCCAAAGTACCTGAGCCAAAGTCTCCCTATCCTTTCCTCTAAGGAGCTTTCTAGCTGTACTTCTTCCACGATGGATTTATTTCTCCAACTGGCAATCCATGGTACTTGCAAGTTTACCAAGTTCAACTTCAAATTTGTTAGACTGCACCAATCTCATTATTCTCTCCGCTGAGACTCTCATGGCAAGGATGCTAGGTCCTTGCAGTTCTGTTCATTTTCTCCCCATATCTTTCCCTCTCTCTTGCCCAGACAAGTAATTTCTATGGCTCTATATTCAAGTTCACTCACTCTCCTCTTGTGAGCTTCATTTTTCTAGCAAGCATATCATAATTATCTATTTTTACTTATAAAGTCTCCCTATGTTTTTGGTCTTACATCTTGTTTCACTTATTTTTTTTTACCTTTACTTTTAACACAAGTGTTAAGAGTGCTCCTACTCTTTTTCCCTCCCTCTCAACCAATCCAAAAACAATTGACATCTCTAACAGAAGAAAGTCCACACAATAAATATTATTTGTCACTACTTTTTCAGTGTTTTGCTTCCTCATCTATAAAATTTAAAAAGCTGGTCTAGTAATTCCTAAGGTTCTTTTCAGCATTTGTTAAGTATACCTTGGGCTGCTATCTACAAGGTCAGCAGTTCGAAGTGACCAGCCCATTCCAAGGGGAAAAGATGAGGCTTTCTACTCCTGCAAAGATTTACAGTCTTAAAAACCCACAGGAGCAGTTCCACACTGTTCTGTAGAAACTATAAGTCAAAGACCACATATCTTACTCTTTCAATCTGCCTTTCCATTTCTTTATGCTGTTCAAGATGAATCTTCTTTGCTTTTTCAAAAGCTAAACAAATTTTCTCATGCTCTGTATTGATATTGGTTTCTAGACTTCTTATCTTTTCAGTCTTCTCCTAGAAACAAAAGAATTTCAAGAATATAATTGAGAAGGGTTTCCATGTAGTCATTAGTATATTTGTCAAACATTACATTTATCATACTCTTCTTTTTTTTATCATACTCTTCTTTAAAGAAACACAGCAATTAATAATTCAAACTTGTAAAACATTTAAATATTTATAATATAGACAAAATTGATATTTAAAAATATTTTATTAAATTTTAAAATGAAATCTTTTAAAATGAAAATACAGAGACACTATCAAAGGGCTATTTCCGGCAATTTGAATAAAAGTGTGAAAACTTGAATAACAACTTTCCATACAAATGTATTCACTAAAAAATGTAGAAACAAAATGAAAAATGAATAATCAGAATAGTATATACTTTCTCCCTTGGTGTGGTAGTTACATAATCTGTTGTCAGTTTGAGACTTCAGAGTGAAGGGGTGGAGTTTAGCCTGTCAATCAGGTGGCAGCTTGATGACCTCATTTGGAAGCGCTAAGGAGATAAATAACTCGCTGGAGGTAGGACAAAGACTCACTCTCTGCATACTGATGGAGCCAGAGGCTTGGAGCTGGAGGAGCCATGTGGAGACCCACAGCAGCGCTAAGATGCACTGGATCCACAAGACTTTGCACATACTGGCCTGTGATCTTCCTGCACTTGATGTGATTGCATGGAACTACACTAGTGCCCTGAGCTGGAGGGACCACATGGAGACCCCTGCCAGCACTGAGATGGCACTACCTCCACTGGATCCACAAGACTTTTCACCCACTGGTCTGTGATCTTCCTGTATTCAGCGTCATTGCATGTGTTGCGTGAGTCTGAAGAGGAATTTACAGACTGGTATCGGAAATATGGGATAATATCGGACTTATGGACTTGAACTGGACTGGGCTGGGATGTTTTCTTAAGGTATAATTGCTCTTTATATAAAGCTCTTTCTTATACACATATGAGTACCTCTGGATTTGTTTCTCTAGTCAACCCAGACTAACACACTAGTATATTTTTAATCACACTAAAGCAACATGTTTTAACAAATTAAGTGATAAAAGTCATACTATATTTGAAGGGAAAGAGTATGCTTACCGTAAGTTCCTGTTCTAGTTCTGCATTCTTTGCAGCAATACAGGAATAAGCAACGATTTTTTCTTCTAACTGCTTTTCTAGTGTCAAAAGTTGAGAGCATTTCTTTGTCATCTGAAAATAAAAATAAAATTTTAAAATACTTTTTATAAGTAATGACTTTTAACCCTAAAATCAATACTTGCTCCTCTTTTCCAAGTTCAAACTATGTCTAGATAAACTGCACAAATTTATGGTAACAAATATTTGGGGCACAAGGTGAATATAATCTTTAGATTGACATAATTATAAGTACTTTTAAAACTAAGTAACACATTTTAAGAAAAACAAAGAATGAGGGATAGACCAGAGATATGGTATGTTTCATTTACTTCATAGTTAAGTAATTTTATTCAGACTTCATTCTCCAAATAAAATGTACTTGAATCCATTTTTTTACAGTAGCTGTGTGAAAAGACTAAAATTTGTCTAAAAAATGTTACTGGCAGTAGTATCAGTTCCTATCCCACAGATCTTTTCTTAGTCTTGGCTACAGACTTCAAGATGAGAAATCATACATTTAAAAAGTGACCCCACAGATGAGGAGGAGCCTTTAGTTTAAAAGTTGAATATATTTATATATAGCTCTGATTCACAATTACCTGAGATATCCTTGTTCTGGAGCAACAGAAATAAAAACCAGATAGTCACAAAACATGAATTATGTCCTTTCCAGAATATAGTCCATAGACTACCTGTATTGTAGTCACATGTATTATCTAAAAACGATTCCTAAGCCGTACTCATATCTACTGAACCGCTAGAATGGAACCTAGAACTAACACATTTAATAGTTTTCCCAGGTGATAGTAATCATTGCTAAGACTCATTTACTACTACATCTTTACTTACATAATTGAAATCCTCTACTACAGTGTTTCTTTTCTTTTAACTCATAAGCTGAAGCCTTTATTTATAAATGTGTATTAGTCATATTAATTTATGCTACAGAAGAATGCAATGCAGTGATAGTTCCACCAAATTTAAACTCTTTAGCCAATAAAGAGTATTCTCCTACTTTAGGTTAAAATCCAAAGGTTTCCAAAAATAATTTTTAAAGAATTTGCATCTAACATAGTATAGTTTTTTTTAAAAAAGAAACTCATAAATCGGGACTCAAACACACACAATTTACAAAACCTTTTCACCTGTCTCAAAATCTAGATTTTGAGCTAATCCCAACCTTACTTCACTTTCCAGTTTGCTGGAATTTGAAGCTTTCTCTAATAGCTCCTCTTGAATCAGCTGAAACTGACTAGTTCTGTGGGCCATGTCGACCTTCAAATCAGAGTTCTCGGCTTCTATTTCCATCAACTTTGTACGCAGTTCTTCTATTCCAGCCACCAGTCTCTGCTTTTCTCTTTCGTAATGCTTGCTGTGACTCTTTGTACTGTCTGTTAATACACATAAAAGGAAAATTATTCTGACTACAACATTAGTAACCAAAATCTATTTTAACAGTTGACTGAATTAATCATTAAGTTGTTTCTAATTTAAAGAATATAAAAGGAAGGAGAATGAGAAAGTCAACAATGATAGCATAATTAAAAACACAAAAAATAACATATCTTCTAAGTTAGAAACACAAAAGTGGGAATAAATTCTGCACTCTTCTAAGTAGCTGGAAAATTAGCCTTTGTATAAGAATTTTAGGAGTTATTCACCACCTTTTAAAATTCCAAAAATTTTTTTAATAGAAATCAACACAAAAAATTCTTTTAAATGATGCTGTTTCTTTACATGAAGTTAATAAAAATTGAACACTATTTTGATGTACTATATGTAGATACAGCCCTGGTGGCCTAGTGATTTTAGTGCTGGACTCTTAACCACGAAGTCCAGCAGTTCAAAACCACTAAACGCTCAGGAGGAGAAACATGAGGCTTTCTGATCCTGTATAGTTAGTCTTGGAAATCCCAAGGGGAAGTTCTAGTCTGTCCTACAAGTGACTATGAATTGGAATCGACTCAATAGCATTGAGTTTAGCTTATATAGAGATGCAAATTTGAAAGCTGTAAATAAGCAGTGAATCCTTCCACATCTCATTTTCCTCCCCTGGAAACTAAACGAACAATACAAGCTCACTGCCATCCAATAAATTCTGACTGACAGGGACTCTATTTAAGGTGTCCAAAACCTATACATATACAAACTTTGGTTTGCAACTATCTTGTGTGTCACAAAGGAATTGAAGTCAGTTTCACTGTGATTTTTCCTATTTTTATAACCACTGTGACAGTTAAGGAATCTGAAGGTTTCTTTAAGTTTTTGACTCTTCTCTTTTCCTACCCCCACCTTTCTTTCATTCTATCTAGCTAGCTAGCTATTCCCTTTTGTTTATGGAATATAGCATACAAAGAAAAGCATATTATAAGTAGTTGCACAGCCCATTAAATCAAAACAGTGACAGTCTCCCAGGGAACCCCTGCACGTTTGAGTCTTTGTTGTTCTCCAAAGACAGTCATTATGGGAGCAGATAGCCTCAGTTGTCTCACATAAAGCTGGTGGGTTCGAATAGAAGAGATTAGTGATAAGAAAGGAACCATGGACTGCTAGAAGCAGAAATAATTACAAAGACTGTCAGCCAAATGATCAGAGTGAAGCACAGAGGGAAGAGGGAAGGAAATAATGGGATTAGTGGAGCGCATGCTAATTATGTGAGGTGGTAATAAAGATAAGTGACAGAAAAGAGCAGAACCAGGGACAGATTGTTAGGCTAGAGAGAACTGATGCAGAATGGTCACTAATAAAACACATAGTACATTCTACTTGCTTCCACAGTTATATATGTTCTCATGCAATGACTTGTGTCACTTTAAAGCACCCCTGTCAGCTCAATTGCCTTTGAGTGGAAGATATATTTATATTTACAGTGGAGAAGGTTATAGTCAAAGAACTACTACTGGGGTGTACCCCTCAGCAGTCTTTAAAAGCATCACTGAAAATTCACCAGGTAGTTTCAAGGACTGAGCTTTCCTGGTAACATGTCCAAAGTACAGTAGAGGAAGTCTCACCATCCTTGCCTCTAAGAAGCTTTCTGGCTGTACTTCTGCCAAGACAGATTTGTTTGTTCTTTGGCAGTCCACAGTCATTTCAGTATTCTTCTCCAGTATCACAATTCGAATGCATCAATTCTTCTTTGATCTTTGTTATTCAATGTTTAACTTTCACATGCACCTAAGACAACTAAAAATACCATGGCTTGTGTCATGAGGACCTTGGTCCTCAAAGTAACATTCTTGCCTTTCAACACTTAAAGAGGTCTTGTGCAGCTGATGTATCCAATGCAAATGTGCTGTTTGATCTCTTGAATGGTGCTTCCATGAGAATTGATTGTGGATCCAAGCAAGCAAGATGAAATCCTTGACAACTTCAATTTTTTTCTCCGTTTAACATGATGTTGCCTATTGGTCCAGTTGTGAGGATCTTGGTTTCCTTTACATTGAGTTGTAATCCATACTGAAGGCTGCAATTCTTGATCTTCATTAAGCACTGCCTCAATTTCTCCTCACTTTCAGCACCAAGGTTGTGTCATCAGCCAATCCTTATACCAAATTCTTCTTCATATAATCCAGCTTCACTGATAACTTGCTCAGTTGGAATCAGTAATAACAAGTTATTAATTAGCTAACATAAATATGCTCAAAGCTTTCAACATAAAAGGATGCATAACCAGTAGAAGAAAATGTTAGATTAAAAAAATGGAGCTTTTCTAGATATGTAGAATCCATTATCTAAATGGAAACTTTTTTTTTTTAATGGAAACTTTTACAGGCTGGGATTGAGAGAAGATTAGAAGAAAAAGTGAATTATAAAGATATGTCAATAGAAGCTATCAAAAATTAAGCACAGAGTGATAATATAATTTTGGAATACATAAGTGTGATCGTTGGATAACAAGATGATCATAATTAATGTCACCAAACTGCAAATTGTTGAGATTTCAAATGCTGCATTACATATATAAAATGGGGTTTCAAATGTTTGTAGAAAAATTCCATTATTTTTTCATTCTATTCTTCCATAATTTTTTTGAAGCCCTCTCATATTTAAAACTATTTTTTTAAAAATTAAGTGAAGGAGAAAAGATTACTGGGAAGGAAGAAGAGTCATAGTAACTTGTGGCAAAACAGAAGGGGACTTTCAAAAGGTTATTGGAAAAATTCAATTCCATTTTTAAGTGCCCTCATACATCCCCTTTCCAATGGGACTCCAAGCATATACACTTCTTCATTAGGTAGCTTAATGAAAATCTGATGAAAACTATAACCTACATTTCTAACAACTTCAACAAATTAAAATCAAATTCCTTAAAAGCTGTGATCAAAGAAAATCTTAAGACTAGTCAGAGAAAATAAGCACATTACAAATAAAGGAAAGAAAAAAAAAAACCACCTCAAACTTTACTTCAAATTCCATCAAGCAATAAAAACAAATCTTTTAAAAATGAAAGTGGGGGAGGGGAATAAGTATCCAACTCAATACACTAAAAGCTAGAAAAATTAATTGCTAGCCAACCTATATTATAAAATATGTTAAATAAAGTTCTTCAGGCATAAATGATAATAGATAAGTAGTTAAATATACACCATGGACTGAAAAGTACTGGAACTAATATGTACACACATTTACAATTTTTTTCATTTTAAAGTATCTTTCTAACAGTTTCTACAATTATAGTGCATTGTTTTTACTGTATGTAACTTATACTCCAATAATGTAATATTTTAAATGATGCAAAAGCTCAAAGATTTCTAATAGCTTCCTTTTTTCAGACCTTAACTAGTAATTTAGTAAGAAACAGATTATCAAGTATAATTGATTTCTCAAAAACAAAAAAAAACAAAAGAAACCCAAAACCAAACAAACAAAAAAACCCCAACCAACCATAAAGGACTCATTTTAAGTTATTAACACAATCAAATATAATATACTCACCTACTTGATTACTGCCTAGTTTTACAGGCTCTGTTTCTAAACTACTTAATTTGCCACTTTCTTGACTGTCATTACAAGAAAGACTCAGAGACAACTGATTAGCAGTCAGGTTTGCTTGGAGCTTTTGAATTTCTGCCTCTTTTATTGCAAGCTTAATCCTGGAATTAAACAAAACAAAAGGGCCAAAAATTATCATAAAGATTTTGTATAAAAAAAAATCCCAAACCATTTTTTCACCTTTCAAATTGGCTTAAGTAAGAAACTTAGTGTAGTGAAGTGAAATTTCTTAATACTGCTTGTCTATCCATGTCTCAGTAATGCCTGCCAAATGATTGGGTGGGACCATGCAAACAAGTTGTGTGAAACACTACGAGAAGTGGTCTGTTTTAGTTGCCATTGCCCGGGCTCCAAGAATGAATTCCCTCAGATGCAAGAACAGAGAAAATCCCTGGGACCATCAAGGAAGAAGAGCCATTGAACATATCTGAGATCCCTGCTTGAAGTGGCAAAGGTAGAAGAGGCCATACCACGCTGAGACCAGAGACAGAGCAGAAGGGAAGAGCTGAGCTGAGACTATGAGACTATGAGGCACAGCTGTAGGTGGGTTTCCTGGCCCTCAGAGACAGAGGCCAAGGGACCATGTGGCTGAGAGGACTAGAGAGAGACTTGGCTACAGGCTGAGGAGAGGTGGACCAATAACTGTATCTTTAATATTTTCTTATCTTGCTTGTGGTAACCGACTAATTTCTCTAATAAACTCCCTTAATCATGAGTATTGTCTGTGAATTCTGTGTGGCCCAACAGAAAAATAGAGTGTCCCGAGAAAAAAGATTGGTGCCAGGACAGGGTAAAGAAGGATAGAAAGTAGAGCCATGTCTGGCTTCTGCCTCATGGCAAATAGGCCTTGGGCTGGCGAGGAACTGGATTGCCCTTCTCCCTTGTGTAACCAGAGATTAGATACGGCCTCCAAGTTGTTTACTAACTTGGATATTAGTTAACTATTAGGCAAAATATGGAAATGCTTAGTATTGGTTGGATTTTAACTTGGTTCAGCTACTTTAAAAACCTGTTAATATGTATTGGAATCAAATATGTATATTCTCTATGACCCAGCATTTCCATTTTAGATATATGTATTACAGAAACTCTTACACATATATGCAGTCGACATATATTAATGTTCTTTACAACACTATTTATAACACAAAAGACTAAAAACAAGATAGCTACCAGTACAAGAATGGATACTGTGATATAGGATAGGCTCCTACGTAGCTATTAAATTTAAACTAACCACACAAGTTCATTCATTTACCTATCTCAACACAGTGAAAAGCAAAACACATAATTCCTATACTTGTATGTGTGAGTACAGATATACACAAAGTAGACTTAAGCATACCCAACGAATGTACAAATGTGCTTTACACAATTGATGTGTGTATGGATTGCGATAAGAGTTGTATGAGCCCCTAATAAAATGATTTAAAAAAAAAGAATAATATAAACCCAATTCATGATAGCAGGTGAATGGAGTTAGAAGTATGGAATAAAGGATTTTTATTCATTCTGCAATGTTTTTTTTATTTAAGGAACAGATTTAAAACAAACATCACAAAATGCAAAGAATCACTTCTTAGTTATAGGAGCATGGATTTTTTTTATCATAGTCTTTGTGTTTTTCTGCATATTTTTCAACTTCTCACTTAACTATTTTAACTGAATTATAAGAAGAACATTTGGTATAATTTCAGAATAGAAAACTGTACCTTAACTCTGAGAGTACCATTTTATTTGCCTCACAGCAGCCAATGCAATTGTCTTCCTTGTTTAAAAAACTACTCATCTGGTACTTGGAAAGAGTTGATTTAAAGCCAAACATTTCTCTTTTTGGCTGCAAGTTTAAAAGAAAACATATACAAAAGTATAAATCATATGTTGATTTCAAACTACTTTATTTTCAGAACTTCATATTTGAAATTGTGTGAATATAACTAAAACAACCTAATGTTCATCAGTATAAGAAAAGAATAAATACATTGTGAAATATTAATATACAAGAAAGCAATAATTGTCCAAGTTGAATAAACCTAAATTGTGGGAGGGTGCTTCTAAAAGTTTGTGAAAAATTGAATTAAAAGATGGTGGGATTTTTCTACAAACTTTTGAAGCTCCCTCGTAAAAATCAACATAGATAAACCTCAAAACAAAGTTAAGTGAACAAACGTACACATAATACTTTTTTTTTTTTGTGAGCCAGTGAGTGAGTGAGTAGTTAGTGAGAGTCAGCGAATGAGTGAGTGAGCCAGTGAGTGAGTGAGTCAGTGAATGAGTGAGTGAGTCAGTGAGTGAGTGAGAGAGTCAGTGAATGAGTGAGTGAGTCAGCGAGTCAGTGAATGAGTGAGTGCGTGAGCCAGTGGGTGAGTGAGTCAGTGAGTGAGTGAGCCAGTCACATAATACTCTTTAAAATGGACTAAAAAGTATACATGTGTGTTTCTGAATACATTCATAGGTGGCGATATTCAAAATAAGGATGGGAATGGACTTCAGAATAGTGATGAACTGTGCAAGCTACATAAAGCAGAGAAAACCAAATCTGCTGTTAAATCAAGTCTCACTCAAAGGGGCCCTATGCTCCTGTTAGGTGCCACCGAGGGGGACCTGATTCATAGTGACCCTACGTACAACAGTACAAAACACTGCCGCTTCTTTGCCTCAATCATTCTTGTATTTGAGACTATTGTTGCTGGCACTGACTCATAGAAGCCATATTAAAAAACGCAAAACCACTGATGCTTTTAAAGGCTATTGAGGGTTATCAGTAGTAGTTGTTAGGCTGTGCTCCTTCTCTGCTATAAGCATAAATGGGGGTACTTAAAAAAAAAAAACCAGAATTGCACTGGGCCGAGCAGAGTTTTTGTAGTACGCATTTTTCACGCCAGGCAAGCATTAAGCAACTCACTCCGAGTTCGTGTGCCTAGTGGCGTCACCTAGGAAGGTCTCTCTGATCACTGAATTTTTTCACAAAAGCAATCACTTGAAACTTGTTTTTCATGATGGTCAATTTAAGAGAACAGCATGCAGCTGTGAAATTTTATTTCATTCTTGGGGGAAATGCTGCAGAAACTGTTGTGATGTTAAAAACAGCTTACAAGGACGGCGCTACGGGAAAAGCTGAAGTGTATGAGTGGTTTTCTCAACTCAAAAATGGTGAAATGTTGATTGATGACAAACCTTGTTCTGGACATCTGTCAACTTCCCAATGGATGAAAATGTCAACGTGTAGTGCATCTGGAGTTCGTTCCACCAGGTTAGACTGTTAATCAAGCTTTCTATTTAGAGGTTCTGAAAGGATTGCCCAACAGTGTGCGACAAAAAGGACAAAAAAAGACTTGTGGCAGACAGGGGACTGGTTTTGCACCCTGACAATGCACCTGTTCACACAGCCATCTCAATTTTTGGTAAGAAACAGCATGCCTCTCTTGCCCTACGCACCTAACTCACCTGACCTTGCTCCGTGCAACTTCATTTTTTTTTCTGTGAATGCAGAGGGATATGAAATGACAGCGATTTGATGACATAAAAGAGGTGAAGAGAAAAACAAAGGAGGTGCTGTCAGCCATCCAAACAGATGTTTGAAAAATGTTTCCAAGAATGGAATCACAGATTTGACACATTTATTAAGTATAATGGAGAATACTTTGAAGGTGATAAGGTTGTTTTAAAAAAATAAAAATAAACTGAGGTAGTGGACAGACTTCGGGCCTCTGTTCATACTTTCCTTCAAGACAAAAACACTGTTCTAACAAATCGGCATTCTGAGATACCCAACCTCCTGACACAATCGCTGAAGACAAAATGGGTGTATAAGCAAATGTGAAGAAGATGGATGGTGCCCGGGTATTAAAAGATGTAGCTTCTGGGGTCCTAAAGGCTTTAAGTCAAACAAGTGGCCATTCATCAGAGAAGCAGTAAGATCACATAGAAGAAGCACAATGCCATTGCGATCATGAAGAGTCATCGGGACCAGGTAATAGGCATCAGAAGACACATAACAAACAAACAAAAACATATTGTTAAGAACGACGGGGGTTGGAGCAGAGACCCAAAGCCCACCTGTAGACAACAGAACATCCCCCCCACAGAGGAGCCACAGGGAAGGGATGAATCATCCCAATGAAATACACAATATTCCTCGTTCCTTGAGGCTTCCTCACCCATTATCATGACACCAGTGCTGCTGCTCAATTCAGACTAGACCGGAGCATGACACGGGTATAGTTAAGAGATGGGAACTCACGACACACGGAATCCAGGAACAGGAGGGGGAATAGCGAGACCAGAAGGGGAAGGGGAAGGAGAGGAAAAGAAAGGGGGAACAACAAAAAACATGGGGGAAGGGAGACAGTGGTCAGTTTGAGGTATGAAAATAATAATAATTTACAATCTATCAAGGGGCCTTGAGGGTTGGGGGTGGGTGGGAGGAAGGAATAAAAAGAGGAGCTGATGGCAAGGGCTCAATAGAACTTAAATGTCTAGAAATGAATGAAGTCAACATATTTGTACAAGCATGCCTGAAGCAATCAATGTATGGAATGTAGCAAGAGTTTTAAGAGCCCCCAATAAATGATCTTTTAATTTAAAAAAAATTTAGTACATAGCTTTGGGGGGAAAAATTGCAGGTTGTTTTTTTTTGGGGGGGGGTGTTTACCTCCTCATATACACCCTCTACACAAAGATAATTAAACTTACCCAAACTCAAACCAAACTCACTGCTGTCAAGTTGATTCAGAGTCACAACAACCCTATGGATGCAGTCAATGCTCCCATGGGTTTCCACCAACTGCAAATCTTACAGGAGCAGAAAGCTTCATCTTTCTCCCGTGGAGACTCTGGTAAGTTATGACTGCTAACCTTGTGTTTGCAACACAATATACATAACCTGCTATGCCACCAGGGCTCCTCAGAGACCCTGTATGACAGAGTAAAAGTTCCCTCACAAGGTTTCAAACGGTATAATCCTTACTGCAGCAGAGAATCCACATCTTTCTCCAGTGGAGTGGCTGATGCGTATGAAGTATCAACCTTCTGGTTAGCAATCGAGTGATTAGCCACTGTGTCACCAATGCTCCATGATATAAAAGGGATTTACTTATGCATTTTCAATTAAAATAAAATCTAAAGTGAATATGACCAGTTTAGGGAAGAATTCTGACATTTTCTCAAAGTGCTAAGTAGGAATTTACCACATGAGCCAGCAACCCCATTCCTAAGTATCTGCTCAAGAGAAACGAAAATGTCCACAAAGAATTGCATGCAAATATTTAAAACACTATGTTTAATAGCACCAGAGCAGAAAACATTACTAAGTGAATAAATAAAATGTGGTATAGCCATTCACAGGAATATTATTCATTAATAAAAAGAAACAAAGTAGTTACACAATACAATGTAGATGAACCTCAAGAACATGCACCAAGAAGTCAGATGCAAAAGACAATGTCCACAACAGACAACTTTTAGGGAAAGAAAGAAGATTTGTGGTTATCTGGAGCTAGTGTGTTAGCTGACTGATTAAGGAGACACAGGATCTACTGGGAATGGCAGAAAAGTTTGAAAACGGAATTGGGGTGATAGTTAACAATTTTGAGTAAACCCATTCAAAATCATGAAATAGTACACTTGAATTAGGTGGATTTGTGGTATGTGAATGTTAACTCAAAAAAGCTGTTTTCTGAGTTTTTGGTTTTTATTTCTGTGCCATTCTAATAGATGGCACCGGAGAGTGGAGGAGAGTGAAATAGTAGGAAGGTAAGGAAGGGAGGGTAATAAGGACCAGGTTAGAGAAGCACAGATGGGGAAAACTAGAAGTTATTAAAAGTTATAAAATATGGTTTGCTATAAAATATCTCAGTAAAATTTCTTTTTCTGTTACTTAATCAAGCATATTACATTTCTTTTCAACATACTTACTGGCAACTGGGATATAATCGTTTCCAAACTTCTCAGTTCTACCCGTGAACTTTCAATTTCTTGCTGACATAAATCCAGTCGCTCATTCTGTGTTGCAATTCGGAGCTTTAATTCTTTGTTTTCATTCATTATAGAAAACTTTTCTCTAAGAATTTCTCCTTTGTCCTCTAACTCATTCTGTAGTTTCAGAACACTTTGTCTAGATTCAGTTAGTTGTGCCATGACTTCTGAATTTTTCACTGCCATAGTTCTTAGTTTTTCTTTCCCAATGTTACTTTCTTCCTTTAACTGCCTATAAAGAAAGAAGTATAAAATGGGGGGAAAGTGCATTCATAACTATAGTCTATTAATCTCACCTTTAAGATAACTTAAAGCTCAGTTCTGAAACAATAAAACCAGTTCACACTTGCTGAATGTCTATTTTATGCATGTGAGGCATTCACAACTTTATGTACTTGGTGCTATTATTATTGTTTGTAGGTGGGTACCAAAAATTTTAGAGGTTAAGTTTCTTAGAGGGCCCTCAAATGAAAGGTCTGATCACCAGTTTCTAAGAAAAAATAACTGTCAGCTAAACAGCAGTTACCTCCTAGTTTCTGTGTGCATGCACGCATAAATATAAACATCAAAAGCACCTGCCAGCAAACCTGGCAGAATGAAGTCAGTGAATGGAAGACAAGCCAGACAGCAACAAGCTCTTACACATCCCCGAAACCAAGAAAATGATTGTGGGAAGGAGCAAAATAGGTGGTAAATCAGATATATACAGCAAGATTCCTGAAACAGAGATCAAAAGAAGACTGACTCTACATAATATTAAGTAAGCCTATGAGCCCAGCATCAATGACTTTTGAGTTCTTAAAAAGATTCTTCGGGAAATGCTACACAAGCAATACTCTTAATGGCACACAGGAAGATGCTACGTAACTACGCAGATAAACTTGAACATATGTGAGATGGATTAGAGAGATCTGACTCTGAATATCTGAAATTTTAGGAATAACTTAACCGACTGATTTCACTTACATTTTCCTTTTAATACAAAGGTAATATATGATTTAAGAACCATGTCTAAATAAATATGACAGGATTATTCCATAAGGTATCAAATGAAATTTTAAGTGACTAGCATGCGGTGATGAAGCAAGTTCAAGCTGCATAGAGAGCATTAGCCGAAAACAAGTGTCACCACCACTTGTCTATCAGTCTTATTATACTGTGGTGGCTTGTGTGTTGCTGTAATGCTGGAAACTATGTCACTGGTATTTCAAATAGCAGGAGGGTCACCCAAAGTGAACAGGTTTTAGCAGAGCTTCCCGGCTAAGAACAGACCATGAAAAAGGACAAGGTTCCCCACTATGGAGGAAGGAGATGCTGAAAATCTTATGCACAGGTTCAAAACATTGCCAAATACTGAAGGCCTAGTGAATGGAAGCAAAACACATAGTGCCAGAGTATGGACCCTTGGATTGGAAGGCACTTGAAATGTGATGAAGAGGGGCTGATTTCCAGGAGTGGATCCAATCATGACGACCCGAGTCAGGTAGAGCCTGTGGGAATGGAGCCATCAGGAACTTCATTTGCTGGTGGAGAATGACTCAAGGTAAGGACAAACAGCTGCAAAATTTGCTAATGGCCAAGCTTTCAATGTGCGAAGTATGAATCTAGGAAATCTGGAAGGCAGGAAAGATGAAATGAAACACATAAAGATTGATATCTTAGGCATTAATGAGCTGAAATCGACTGGTGTTGGCCATTTCAAATAAGAAAATAATATGTTTTACTATGCTGGAACTGTAAAATTGATCAGGAAGTACAATGCGGTCTATGATAGGATTATATCTATCTGCCTTTAAGGAAAGTCAATCAATACAACTATAATTCAAACTAATGCACCAACCACAAAAGCTAGTGAGGAAGCAATTTAAGAACTCTAGCAACAGTTTCATATGGAAATTGATCAAACTTGCAGTCAACAGGCATTAATAATTATTGGTGAGTGGAATGCAAACTTTGGAAACAAAGAGGAAGTAACAGGAGTTGAAAATATGTACTTGGCAAAAGAAATGAAGATGGAGATCGCATGATAGAATTTTGCACAAAAACCCCCCAAAACATAATTTTGCAAACCCAATGACTGTTTCATAGCAAACACACAAAAGTGATTATACACATGGCCTTCTCAAGATGGAATACACAGAATTCGAGTTGACTACATCTGTGGGAAGAGAGGCTGGAGAAGCTCAGCAGCAGCAGTTAAAAGCAGGCCCAGGGCAGACTGTGAAACAGACCATCAATTATTCATACGTCAGAGTTCAGAATAAAGCTGAAGTTAATTAAAAGAAGTCCACAAGAGCCAAAATACAACCTTGAGTCTATCTCACATGAATTTCGAGAATATCTCAAGAACAAATTTACTGCATTGGCCACTAATGACAGAAGACTTGATGAGGTGTGGGAAAGAACATAATTCATGAGAACAGCAAAAGGTCATAAAAAAGACAGGAAAATATCAAAGCAGCTATTAGAAGAGTCTGTGAAACTTGCTCTTAATGATAGTGTAACTAATGAAAATGGAAGAAAGGATTAAGTAAAAAAGATAAGTAGACAAGTACTCCCTCAACGCAAGAACACTTTGCTCTAATACCCTGCATTCTATGATGCTCACTTTCCCTACGTGATCGCTAAAGACAAAATGGGCGCATAAGGAAATGTGGTGAAGAAAGCTGATGGTATCTGACTATCAAAAGATATAGCATCTGGGGTCTTAAAGGTCTGAAGGTAAACAAGTGCCCATCTAGTTCAGAAGCAACAAAGCCCACATGGAAAAAGCACACCAGCCTGTGTGATCATGAGGTGTCCATAGGATCGAGTATCAGGCATCAAAGACCCAGAACAAAAAATCGTATCAATGTGAATGAGGAAGAGTATGGAGTGGAGACCCAAAGCCCATCTGTAGACAATTGGACATTCCACTACAGAAGGGTCACAAGGAACAGAGGAGCCAGTGAGGGTGCAGTACAGCACCGATGAAGCATACAACTTTCCTCTAGTTCTTTAATGCAAACCCCTGCCCCCTACTAAAATGATCCCAATTCTACCTCACAAATCCAGCTAGACCACAGCATGTTCACTGGTACAGATAAGAGCTGGGAACACAGGGAATCCAAGACAGATAAACCCCTCAGGGTCAACAATGAGAGTAGCCATACCAGGAGGGTAAGGGGGAGAAAGGAGGAACTGATCACAATGATCTACATAAAATCCCCTCCCAGGGGGACAGACACCAGAAAAGTGGGTGAAGAGAGACATCGGTCAGTGTAACACATGAAAAAATAATACAAATTTATAAATTATCAAGGGTTCATGAGAGAGTGAGGGGGGGGAAATGAGGAACTGATACCAAGGGCTCGAGTAGAAAGAAAATGTTTTGAAAATGATGATGGTAACATATGTACAAATGTGCTTGACACAATAGATGAATGTATGGATTGTGATAAGAGCTGTAAGAGCCCCCAATAAAATGATTTTTAAAATACACAGAGTAGAAAAATTCAAAGGCAGCTGGAGAAGACAAAATAAAAAATCATAATGAAGTATGCAAAGGCCTAGAATTAAATACCCCAAAGGGAAGACACACTCAGCATATCATAAATTAAAGGAACTCAAGAAAAAATTCAAGCCTCAAGTTATAATACTGAAAGATTCTGTGAGCAAAATAGTGAATGAAGCAGGAAGCATCAAAAGTAGTTTTTTTTCTTCACCTCTTCTATGTCGTCAAATCGCTGTCCTTTCATGTCCCTCTTTATTTACAGAAACAAAAAGAAGTCACTTGGAGCAAGGTCAGGTGAGAAAGGTACATGGGGCAAGAGAGGCATGCTGGTTTTTTTTGCCAGAAACTGGTGCACTGAGATGGCTATGTGAGCAGGTGCATTGTCGTGGTGGCAAACCCAGTCCAGTCCCTGCCGTCTGCCATAAATCAGGCCTTTTATGTTGCACACTGTTATGCTATCTTTTCAGAACCTCTAAATAGTTTGATTAACAGTCTGACCTGGTGGAACAAATTCCAAATGTATTATCTCCCTCACATCAAAAAAACAAATGAGCATCATCTTAATCTTTAACTTGACTTGACGAGTTTTTGGGTGAGGTCTCAAGGGAGTCTTCCACTGGCTTGATTGATGTTTGCTTTTGGGGTCATAAGAATAGCACCATGTCTCGTCACCAATAATGGTCTTGGGAAAAAAGTCTAGGTCACTTTGGAGCTGTTCTTTCAAAGCATGGCATGTCTTCACTCTACACTCATTTCCCTGGAAACCCACAGCGACCCTTCTCATTCCCAAATCTTCTGTTAAATTCGCTGACTCAAGCTCCAAGATAGTCCCGATAACTTCCCCATCTCTTCAATGGTCCATCCTTGGTTGAGCACAAATGTACACATTTTGTGGACATTTTCATCCATTCACGAAGTTGACAGATATCCAGAATGAGGTTTGTCATCAATCGACATTTCACCTTTTTTGAAACAAGAAAACCATTCATACACTTGAGTTTTTCCTATGGTGGTGTCCTTATAAGCTGTGTTCATCATCACAACAGTTTCTGCGGCATTTTTCCTGAGCACGTCACAAAATTTAACAGCTCCGTGCTGTTCTCTTAAATGAGCCATCACAAAAAAAAACGAAATTCAAGCGAAAATGCGTAAAAAAAACATTCACTGTGGCCAGCGAGAACCATCCCAGGCAGCACCCCTGGTCGCACCAACTCAGAGCAAGTTGCTGGATCCTGGCCTAAAAGGGGAAATATGCACTATGAAGGCTCCGCTCTACTCAGTGCGATTCCAGTTTTGTCTGTTTGCTTGTTGGGGGTAGGGAGTGCCACCTCGTATATGTCATGAAAGCAACAGTTCAGAGATCAAAAGAAGATTTGTATTAGGTAAATCTGCTGCACAAGATCTTCCTAGAGTATTAAAAAGCAAAGATGTAACTTTGAGGACTAGGTGTACCTGACACAGCTATGGTATTTTTAATTGCCTCATAGGCATGTGAAGTTGAACAGTGAATGATGAAGACTGAAGAATTGATACATGTGAATTGTGGTGTTGAAGAAGAATAAGGAAAGTAACACAGACTGCTAAAAGGACAAACAAATCTGTCTTGGAAAAAGTACAACCAGAGTGCTCCTTAGAGGGAAGGATGGGGAGACTGAGTCTCATGTACTTTTGACACATTGTCAGGAGAACGCAGTCCTTGGAGAAGGACATCATTAAAGTTCAGTAAAGTTGAGGGGTAACGAAAAAGAGGAAGGCTTTCAAGGAAATGGACTGACATTGTGGCTGCAACCATGTACTCAAGTACTGAAACAACTGTGAGGAGGGCGAAGGGTCTGTCAGTGTTTCCTTCTACTGTGAGTGGGGTCGCTGTGGGTGGGAATGTCACTTAACATCCCGATGGCACCTAACAACAGCAGCAGCATGTGTCACAGTTTAATTGTTCAGTATTTTTCTTCTTAAATGTATACCTTGCATTTGATACCAGTCCTATGAAACACTCTAGTAACATAACTACCATAAAAACGAGGATTGAAAAAAATTTTTTTAACTGACTTTAAGTCAGAAAGTATTGCTACAAAATAGAAATCCTTATTAAAAGAAAATATCAAAATGTGAAGTTAATATTTCCCAACATATACTCTATCCATCTAAGTCTATACACTTCTGAAGGTGCCGTTTCCATCTCTCTAAGCTTTCCCCTTGACAACTTCATTCTTGTCTCCACTTATCATGTTACCCATTGGTCCAATTGTGAGGATTTTTGCTTTCTTTACATTGAATTGCAATCCAAACTGAAGACTACAATCCTTGATTTTCATCAGCAAGTGCTTCAAGTCTTCCTCACTTTAAGCCAGGAAGTTTGTGTCACCTGCATATAGAAGATTATTAATAAGCCTTCCTCTGATCCTGATGGCACATTCTTCTACATATAATTCAGCTTCTCTAATGATTTTCTAAGCATGCAGATGGATTTAACGCTGTCGCACACCTTTCCTGATGTTAAACTATATAGTATTCCCTTGTTCTGTTTGCATTACTTTCTCTTGATTCATTTACAGGTTCCACGTGGGCACAATTGTTTTTCCTTTTTCAGAGGAATGATCTAGGAAGCAAAGCTATGAATAGCGGTATAAGCACAGGTGTGTACATATATAAATACATTAATCCATAAAAGTAAAGGTATTGGCCTACGTACATATATTTATATGGCAATACACTGAGGTAGTGGACAGAATTCAGGCCTCTGCTCATACCCTCCCTCAATACAATGACACTTTCTTCTAACAACCTGGCATTCTATAATGCTCACCCTCCCAACACAACTGCTGAAGACAAAATGGGTGCATAAGCAAATGTAGTGAAGAAAGCCGATGGTGCCCAGCTATTAAATGATCTGGAGTCTTAAAGCGGCCATCCAGCAGAGAAGCAATAAACACACATGGAAGAAGCATACCAGCTGGTGCGATCATGAAGTGTCAAGACCAGGTAACATCAGAAGACCCATAACAAACAAACAAAAACATATCGTTGAGAATGAGGGGGGTCAGAGCAGAGACCCCAAAGCCCATCTATAGACAACTGGGCATCCCCCCACAGAAATCACAGAGAAGGGGTGAGTCAACCAGGGCACCATAAAGCAGTGATGAAACACACAAAATTCCTCTGGTTTCTTGAGGCTTTCTCACCCCCCAATATCATGATGATCCCAGTGCTGCCTCTCACTTCAGACTAGACCAGAGCATGTACACAGGTATAGATAAGAGATAAGAACTCATGACATGCAGAATCTAGGAATCGGAAGAGCAGTACCAGAAAGGTAGGGGGAAGAAGGGGAGGAGAGGGGAGGAAGGGAAACTATCGCAATGATCGACAGATTACCACACCCCGTCACCAAAGGGAAGAACAACAGAAACCATGGGGAAAGGGAGACAGCGGTCGGTGTGATACATGAAAATAATAATTTATAATCTATCAAGGGGTCACAAGGGGGTGGAGCTGATACCATGGACTCAATAGAAAGTAAATGTCTAGAAAAGAATGATGGCAACATATGTACAATTATGCCTGATGCAACTGATGTATGGAGTTGTAAGAGCTCCTAATAAAATGATCTTTTAATTTAAAAAAGGTTCTTGTCTGTTTTTAATCAATAGTTTGAGGTCTTAAGGCCTAATTAATATTAATCCATGAAAGTTGATGTTTAACTTTGAGAGGGCAGTGTGATACAGTGGACAGAGTATAGAAGACCCAGGTTCTCATCCTTGCTTCTGTCTCTCTTGGGCAAATGTTGGTTAATCTCTGGGTCTCAGTTCCTTCACTGACAAAATGAGAAGTAGGTGATTCTTCATGATTTGAAATATGTTCTCTTTGAATATTTGATATTATACATATTTTGCTAACTAGTTAATATCTTTACCCTAGGACATTAGGTCTGTATTAATTTTCTCTACTTAAACAAAAGTATATCTTATCAGTACTTTACAAGTACATATTTAAAACAAGTTTTACTGTATTTTAGATTCTAACTTTATACCAAGAAAATGGTTTCAGTTGAAGTCCGTTTTATTATATAATTTAAGATAATTTTAATACATAAAATATTATGTTTTCCTCTCTTTTCTGGTCCCTGGTACTCCGGGAGCAACAGGCATCAGTGCACACCTGGCCAAATCCAAGAACCATACCACACACAACCAATCCTGGAAATGGCACAGAAACGACATCCAAAAAACTAGATGACAACACAAATCTCTTAAAAGGGTAGACACCCCAAGTTCCTGAGGAACATGCGCTTCGCCGAGAAGCACAAGAAGGGCCTGAAGAAAATGCAGGCCAACAATGCCAAGGCCGCAGCTTCTCACACCTAAGCCATCAAGAATCTTGTGAAGCCCACGGAGGTCAAGACCAATATCCCAATGGGCGTCAACTTCAAGCTCAACCAACTGGCCTACATTGTCCACCCCAAGCTTGCCAAGCAAACTCAGGCATGTATTGCCAAAGGTCTGAGGTTATGCTGGCCCAAGGCCAAGGCACAAAGCAAGGCTGATGCTTCAGCCAAGGGCTCGACTCCAGCAAAAGCTCCCAAAGGCACCCAGGCACCAGCTCCCAAAGGCGCCCAGGCGCCCACAAAGTAGAGTTCTCCGTTGAAGACTAGAGGGACTAGTGTGAGCCCTGGGTTGCCACATGCATGGCTCTGGTGTCTTCTTGTGCTGTTTGTAGAAATAAACCTAGGCGGCGCTGTTATCAGTCCCCCCCAAAAAATTATGTTTTAAAATGCTCCTATTTTCCCATTTCCACACAAAGATCCTTTACCTTAACAGGAAAACTGTACCTTAATTTTTCTTTCAAATTTTCAACTTCATTTTTGTATATACCACATTTTTCCTGTAGTCTTTTGTTTTCTTTTTCACAGTTAGTTAGATTTCTCTCTAATATTTCTTCTTCTGCTTGAACCTAAAACAATATTTGTTTTAAGTGAACATGAGCACTAAGGTGATAATGAATTTTCTAGAATTGAAATTAATAATGAAAGTAGTGATATCAGAAATAAGGGAGAGATGAATAAATAACTCTAAGTCCCAGGCTTGTCGTGAAAAAGAGCAAATCTAAGTTCCCAGGGCAGCAATAAGAAGGAACATGTCAGCTACAATCTGTCTAGAAATCCTTAACTGTGACACAGAAGAGCAACAGCAGTCACCTAAAAGCAACAGTGCTTTGGCCTCACATGAACAAGACAGCTAGTTCAAGGAGGGATGCTGTACCCAAGCTATTAAAGGTTCATTTTTTCTGTGCAAATATCCTAGAGAAGTTTTTGAAATATTAGCCAAAAAAACTTCCAGTGAAAATCACAGTTCAAATGTAAACACATAAAAATGAAGTGCCCAGGGTGGAGGGATGAGGGAATAAGGCAGAGAGCCCTTTCAGGCCCTCTTCCTTGGGTGCCTTTTATTATATTCACCTGCTGGGATCTGCATAGTTCAAAATGGGTGATTCTTATGAAACACGTAAATCAACTGTTTCTTACATTTTCCTCTCCTCCTTCTATGTTCCTCCCTCTTCCTAAGGGCACCCTTCTATTAACACTAGGTATTCCCCCCCTAGAAATCCTTTCTACATTTCAATCCCACAGGGCCTTCTTCGACGTTTTCCAAACAGTGATATGTCTAACTCATACTTCAGATTTGAGTATGTACTGGGATCTTCTACTTTAAATTGTTAAGTGGTATGTGAGGAACCTGGTGGTGTAATGGGTTATGCTTTGAGCCGCTAACCACAAAGCTGGCAGCTGAAACCCACCAGCGGTTCTGCTCTGGGAAAGATTTACAGCCTGAAAACCCCTATGGAACAGTTTTACTTTGCCATATGGGGTGAGTCGGAATAAATTCAATAACAGTAGGTTGTTTAAGTGGGGTTCACAGTTTTATTAGAAAGAACAACTTCTTCAAGGCCAAACAGATGCTTGTTTGACTTTAGTACCTAATATGATTGATAATTTCTCCTTTAAGTGCTTTTTACAGTCATTGTGGTATAAGGACACTCTTACTTTCTTTTTTTACTATTATGAACTGATCATTTTCTACTCTGTTCTCTTTTTATATGTTACTTTTGAAAGTTTATCCTTGATTCTCCTTATTATAACTATGCTGGGAGAAGCACATAAGCCTAAGTCTCCCAGATCTCTCCCATCAACCTTATGATGCTACAATCTTAAATTATGAAACCAAAATATTTCACTAGAAATTCTTCATGTTTCCTTCTTCCTTGAACCTTAATTATTTTCTCCATATTTAATCCCCTTTTTTTCTCTCATGGATAAAAATGTCCTCATTCTATTTGAAAATATTTCACCTCTGCTCTTGGACCTGTCTCCTCACATCGCATATATTCAGACTCATATCTATTCATACTCTTGTGCCATCTACCATTCCCCATAATTCCAACATCTGCACTCCTCCTGCCATCTCCTCCACTGGCTCTTGTCCTTCAAACTTACTTGTTCAGGTAACTCTTAGTCCTAAAAGCGCCTTTCCTTGGCCTATTTTCTTTCTACCTCTCCAATGCCCCATTTCTTTACTCTTCCCCTATCTTAAGAATAGTCTATCTGCTACCTCTACTGTCTTCTTTCTTATTTCTCCCATTTCAGAGGTTGTGCCTTCTGTGCCTACCACTTTAACAAAGCTGCTCTCTACATAGTATCCGCTGATTCTCTAGTTAAGTTGGTGATTCAAACCTACCTGGAGACACCTTGAAATAAATATCTTCTTCCAAAAGGTACAAGCCTTGAAAATCATATGAAGCTGCTATACTCTTGACACACATAGTATCACCACGAGCTCGAAGTAATTCATCAGCCACAAATTAATCTAGATTTCAATGTCGAAGGCCTGACATACAGACACAAAGGCCAAGGAGAAACTGACATCTAGACAGCCTATGTCTATTTCCAAATTATAATTTTTTAAACAAACTTATCTATTTTGATTTCTGATGCAATTATCCACCAATGACTCAAACCAGTAACCTGAAAATATCTTAGTCATCTCTCTCTTCTACTGTCTGCTTCTAACATAGTTTAACTCTATAAATCCCACTGAGTCTCACATCTTACTATCATCTCTCAAATCTATCTTCTGAGTTCCAACAACTTCAATATCTCTGGCCTATGAGTTTCCTAAATTTGTCTCATTCTCCAAGACATCTTCATGGTGATTTAAGAGTGAGCATCCTAAAAAAATGATCTGATCATTAATCTTGCTTAACACTATTCAATTATACACCAAAATCTTCAAGATATTTTTATAGCTCAAGTATCTTATACTCTGTGAAGGCTTCTTTAGGTCTGAGTTCCATAAACTCCTCTTCATGCACCCTACCATAACTACTACTTACTTTCATAGTTCTTAGTCTAAAACACTGAAATTATTTGTTTGCATACTTGTGAATCTTACTGAAATATGAGTGCTTTAAAATAGGTACCATATGTTCTGTATCACTGAATATTGTAGCGAACAATGCATGTAATAGAAACTTGATAATAAATGAAGAGTATTTCTTCGGCAGCTCTTTTTACTCACTCTTCTCCGTAAATGTTTTCTTCAGTTCATTAATGTCTGTGCTTCCACTGTTATTTCAAGATGGACTATGTGCATATTAGTATTTCTTGTGATTGAGCTCAATATCTGAGTTTATCACTGTGTGGCCTTCCTCCACACATTACATGAGGCAGCAGCTGCTCATGAAACAGTCTCTGAGTCAGCAGTAAACACCTCTTAGGTAGCTCAAGGAAGGCCAGTTAAAATTTATATCATCTGTTCTGTCTTCATTTTCAATTAACTGATGAGAATAAATTTCTGGTTTCAACTTTTATGCCTCCAACTTCCATTCGTGTATCCCACTTTCCCTTGTAATTTGTACCTTCCCTTGTCTTCATTGAAACTGTTCCCTCTTTAGAGAAATCAAACATGTTTGCTGATTATAAATTGGTAGAATCTATTACTAATAATTAAACGATGCACATCACTGTTTTATTATTGATCAAAGCATTCTGATAAGAAAAAGTCACTGCTTTAGCCATAAATAAATCCACTCTAATCATACCTACTTCTATTTCTAGAAGTGATAGCAATACAAAATACTGAACCTTTTCCAGTTTTTCAGCTACTTTTTCTTTATATTGTTGGAAAGCTTTATTCAGTTCTTCAGCATTACAGAGTGCTTCATTCCTTTGTCTTTCAGCCCTAAAATTTATAAACAGATGATTAACATCATTTCTAAATGCTCTTCATTTGACTAAGCTCCAAAGTAGCTATGCTTAATTATACTGAAAAATTAGCAAATTTCTTCATACTAAACAAGAGTATTAGACTAAACCATAAAATGAAGACTGAAGATTAGATTATAATAATCTGATAATACGATAACAAATTTTAAAAGAAATAAAAATAACACAATGTTTATAACATAAACTTTGAAATATAAATACATGCTTACATGCTGGCAAATTTTTCTATCTAGAAAAAATATTGATTAGAGAAGTGGCCTCAGGATGGACAATAAATTTTCAAAGGCTAGGCATTATAGAATCAATCTACCATCTAGATTATTATATATACTCAATCCTATAACTTTTGGTAATCATTCATTTAAAAAAAAAAGTATTTCAAAAAATAACTTCTATCAACATCTAGACAAAAAAATTCAAGAACTATCAAGCATATGCTTAAGCCTCATTTAAGTTAACTTTAACCTTTTCTGGAGTTATAAAACCAAGAAGAATACATTATATATATTTCAAGTTGAAGGACTGAAGAAAAAAATTCAAGTCTCAATTTGTGACACTGAAAGATTCTCTGGGAAAAATAATGAATAATGCAGGATGTATCAGAAGAAGATGAAAGGAATACCAGAGTTGTATCAAAAAGACTGGTCCACATTCAACCATGTAAAGAGGTAGAATATGATCAAGAACCAAAGGTACTGAAGAAAGAAGTTCAAACAGAACTGAAGATATTAGTAAAAAGTAAGGCTTCAGGAATTGACAGAATACCAACTGAAATGTTTCAATAAGCTGATGAACAATGAAAGCGCTCACTCATCTATGCCAAGAAATTCAGAAAACAGCTCCCTGACCAGCAAGCAGAAGATCCATATTTGCCCCCTTTGAAAGAAAGGACCCAACAGAATGCAGAAATTATTGAACAACATCATTAACATAACATGCAAGTAAAGTTTCATTGAAGATCATTCAACAATGGCAGGACATGAACATGGAACTGCCAGAAATTCAAGTTGGATGCAGAAGAGAATGTGGAACAAGGTCCATTACTGCTGAAGTCAGATGGATCTTGGCTCAAAGTAAAAAATATAAGAATGATGTTTACTGTGAAATAGCACTGTTGTCTCTGTGGATCATAACAAACTATAAATTGCACTGAGAAGAATGGGAATTCTAGAACACTACATTGTCCTCATGGAGAACCTGTACATGGCAGGCATATGAACAGAACAAAGAAATAGTAGGTGGTTTAAAATCAGGAAAGGTGTGTGTATCCTTTTGCCATACTTATTCAATCTGTATGCTGAGCAAGTAGTATGAGAAGCTGAATTATATATAAAGAACATAGCACCAGGATTAGAGAAGGCTTACTAACCACTTTTGATGTGCAGATAACACAACCTCCCTTGCTGAAAACAAGGAAGACTTGCTGATGAAGATCAAATGAAGGACTGCAGCCTTCAAAATGGATTGCAACTCAATGTAAAGAAAATCACAATACTCACAACTGGACCAATATCTATCATCATGATAAATGGTAAAAAGATGGACATCATCACAGATTTCTGCTTGGATCCATAATCAATGCTCATGAGAACAGCAGTCAAGAGACCAAAAGGAAGCATCACATTGGGTAAATCTGCTGCACCAGTGTTGGAAAGGGGAACCGATGACAGGGATCTACATGTGACCTCCTCCCTGGGGGACGGACAACAGAAAAGTGGGTGAAGGGAGACGTCGGACAGGGCAAGATATGACAGAATAATAATTTATAAATTATCAAGGGCTCATAAGGGAGGGAGGGAGGAGGAGGGAGGGGGAAAAATGAGGACCTGATGCTGGGGGCTTAAGTGGAGAGCAAATGTTTTGAGAATGACAAGGGCAATGAATGTACACATGTGCTTTACACAACTGATGTATGTATGGATTGAGATAAGAGTCGTATGAGCCCCTAATAAAACGATTAAAAAAAAAAAGTGTTGGAAAGCATTGGTGTCACTTTGGGGACCAAGGTGTGCCTGATCCAAGCTGTGGTATTTTCCATCACTTCATATGCATGTGAAAGATGAAAACTGAATATGAAGGACAAAAGAATCATCGATGAATCTGAAGTACTGGTCAAATCTGGTAAAGAACTGAAAGTACCATGGACAGCCAAAAGAAAAAACAATTCTGTCTTGTAAGAAGTACAGCCAGAACACTCCTAAGAGGCAAGGATGGTTAAGACGCCTCAAGTTCTTTGTATATATTACCAGGAGAGGAAAACTCATCAAGCTTGGTAAAGTAAAGGGGCATAGAAAAAGAAGAGGGCCCTTAAAAAGATGTACTGACACAGTGGTTGCAACAATGGGCTTAAACATAAGAACAATTGTTAGGATTGGGTGGTGTCTTGTTCTGTTATACATAGAGTCTTCTAAGAGTTAGAACTGCACTGATGGCATCTAATGACCTTTCCTCATAATTCTCACAGTGAACTGAAATGATACAGCTGGAACCTGGTCAGTTTCACATTCAGGTCTAAAAAATTTTCTACATTTCAAACCTCAAACCAAACCCATCGAGTCAATTCCTCCAGCTATGCTCTGGATTTCAACATCTCCTGCAGGAATTTGCTCTATTTCCCTACTCTTAGTCATTCTTCTCTCTTGTTATAACTAAAAACAAATTCAAGTGGATGTATCCTCAATTCCCAATTCTAACTGATTCTTAGGCTTGAATAACAATTGTGAATATCAGGGATTTATATTTGTCCCCAGAATAAAATAATAAAAAGGTCTACACAGTAAGGGGTTTATGTGAAAATCTCTGAAATGTATTCCATTGCTAAGTTTCTGTAACTAGAGCTCAGAGATCAAAAGATATCTGCATTTTTGAAACAAAAATCTTCCCAAGATATTGTTTTTCTCTATCATAATTCTTTTCATGCCAAACTTATCCTCTTTAAAATTATCTACGAAGCATATTCTTTCTACATAGAAAAGCATGAGAATCAAAACACAGACCTTGAACTATTTACAGGCTTTTCTTTTCTTTTTGGTCAGTTTTTGTTGTTGTTTAGTTTTCATTTGTTGCTTTGTTTTGCTGGGGGGTTTTGTGCATATCATTATCTCTGCAGGTCTATCTAGATAAGATGGGCGGGATAAACAATCTGGAGGAGGAAACAACAGACCGAGTTCCGTAGGCACATGGGATAAGGGGAGGCGGGGTAAGGAAAGTGGGTGTTAACAAACCCAGGGACAAAGGAACAACAAGTGATCTAAAAATCAATGGCAAGAAGGGTGTAGAAGGACTGGTAGAGCTTGATCAAGGGCAATGTAACGAGAGGAATTACTGAAACCCAAATGAAGCCTGAACATGATAGTGGGACAAGAAATAGAGGAAAGAACTAAGAAGCAAAGGGCATTTATAGAGGTCTAAATACAGGCATGTATATATGTAAATATGTTTATAAATGACAATGGGGAAATAGATCAATCTATATATATTTATAGGTTTAGTATTAAGGTAGCAGATGGCCATCTGGCCTCTACTCAAGTACTCCCTCAATGCAAGAGCACTTTGTTCTATTAACCTGGAATTCCGTGAGGCTTGCCTTCCTGACACCATAGCTGAAGACAAAGCGGGTACATAAGCAAATGAAGAAAACTGGTGGTGCCCAGCCATCAAAACATATAGCATCTGGGGTCTTAAAGGCTTGAAGATAAACAAGCGGCCACCTAGCTAAGAAGCAACAAAACCCACATGGAAGAAGCGCACCAGCCACCTGTGTGATTACGAGGTGTTGATAGGATCAGGTATCAGGCATCAAAGAAC